AGGATTACATCCCTTGTAATGTGGTTTCCTAATGCAGCCCAGGAGGTTGTTGGCCTTTTCTGCCATGAGGCTGGATTGCTGGCTCACAGTTAGCTTGTTGTCCACCATGACTCCCAGGGTCTTCTCTGTAGATCTGTTTTCCGGAAGTTAGACCCAGCTTGTATTTGTGTCTGGGCTTATTCCTCTCCCTATCTCACCTTGTTGAATTTACTGCATTCCTATCAGCTCATTTTTTCTCCAAGTGCCCAACACCAAACCTGTCATCTCTTCATAGAAGGTTATCAGGTTGGTTAACCAAACTTTCCTCATTGTAAAGCCATGCTGACTGCTCCCAACTGCTTTCTTGACCTTCAGATGTCTGGAAATGGTATCGAGGAAGATTTGGTCCATCACCTTCCTAGGGATTGAGCTGAGGCTGACTACTTCAGGTTCCCCAGACCCTCCTTCTTGCCCTTGAAGACAGGAGTGATATTTGCTCTCTTCCAGCCCTCAGGAGGCTCCCCCAATGGCCATGACATTTCAAAGATAATTGAGAGTGTTTTCACAGTGGCACTAGCCAGGTCAGCAGCACTCCTGGGTGTGTCCCATCAGATCCCATGATCTTGTGTATTCCCATTTGGTTTAAATGTTCCCCGACCTAATCCTCCTCCACCAAAATATATCTTCTGTGTTTCAGACTTTCCTGTTTGCTTCAGGGGCCTGGAATAAGTGAAGGCCAGTCTTACCAGTAAAAACAGAGGTGAAAAAGGGATTGGGTGTCTCAGCTTTGTCATCTTCTCTGTGACCAGGTCTCATCCTTGATCTGGCCAGCCCTGGAGAGCATGGAGAGAAATATGTAAGTCCAGTAGTATAGAAGAATTCATTGTGTGCTGATGTGGAACCTGAACAACACTTCTATACCCATATGGAGTCTCTCTCAGCATTTCGCCGTTGTGTTTGTGATGCCCTGGCTCTGGGGGAGTTGAATCATGGCTGCTAGCTATCCCTTTTCCTCCTAATCCTTGTTCTTCGTTTTTCTCAACTCATACTTAAACTACCTGTTTTCCACATATTTCTACCTACAAAATAACTAAAAGAAAATGTCTTCTGGGTAACCTGTGGACACATCTATTTGTACAAGATTTCAGCTGCTTTGAAGGGTTGTTCTGTTTTATTAAGCTGGAAAACAGCTCTTGTGGGAAAATCAGCATTTTGCACATATAATTAGGAAGGTATGATACTCTGTTTCTGGAGATGCATAGTCAAGAGCTGGGAGATTTTGGCACTTACTGAAACAAATAGCTTTTGAACATCTGAAATTGCTCCTGAATATATTTTGATTACAGTGTGAGCATGGCAATAAAAGAGCCCCTTGGGATTTGGATTCAAATATTAATATTGTTTGGCTGGGAACTGATTCCAAGCCAGTGCTGCTAGGTTTCTCATTGATAAATCTTTATGCTGTCTTGAAGAAAGAGTCAGAGTTGGGGTTGCCCTCTGCAAACAGGGTGCTGAACCCTGCTTCAGGCAGGAACAACAGTTGCTTTCACACTGCTCAGTGACAATCTCCCTTTTAGCCTTCAATGAGATTTTTGATTTTGATCCCAGACCCTTTGCCTTTTGCTGTTCTGTTGATTCCTGCTCTTGACTCCTGCAGGCATCACTGGTGTATGCTGCAATTTCAGATCCTGGCACTGTCCATCAGTTAAGGTATCCCTAATACCAGTATCGGGTCTGCTAACAAAGGGAAAGGAACTGTTTTATTGTACTGTGTGTTTTGTTGCACTGGCTTATGGAGTTCAAGAGGAGTTAGATCTACAACCAAAAGACTTTTCTTCTTTTTAAAGGCATTCTGAAACTTTATTCTGCTTTTCTGGATAGAGACAGAAGTTCTTTCAATTTTGTGTCTTATGACCAATGACTGGGTTTGTGAATGTAGTCAGCACTTGCTATACCCTTGCTAATTCTGCCAGCTGCATCACAAGTGTTTTGATAACGGTGATTTTTTTGTTGTTGTTCAAGCCCACTTCTGGGACCAAGATTTTAATATTTTATTAAAAAAATAATCACATTGTTACTGGGAAAAAAAGCTATAAATGGGAAGCCAGATGCCCTTGAAGTCTCAGTACTCAGTACTCTTCCCCAAACTGCACACTCTCTATTTTTCACTTTCATAAATTTTAGAACAATCTGATGATTTTTGAATCTTTGGCACTGACAAGGCTTATATTTCATTAGTCTTTTGGAGCTTTAGGGATTTTATGAATGTTCTCAAACTGCAAAACAGTTCCCTCATCCATAATGTGAGTACAGTTCATAAAAGAAAAAAATCCATTAACATTAATGAGGTAGTTAAATATAAAAAAATAAAACCCCACTATAAGAAAATCTCTAAAAATTATATAGCTGTTTTTTCTGCTACTATTCACTCAGCCACTGTTTATAGAACTTTAATATTTTTTTACAAAGGTAGAATCAGAGCACTGAAGAACAACCAAAGCTGAACCTTGACCTCTGTTCCTTCAGAGTTGTCTTTAAGGGGGGAAGGCAGGGGGAAGGAAAAAGGTGTGCACTCTAATCAACTTCAGCAGTTTCTCTTTCTCAAAATGGTTTATCAAATATATTGTGCAACTTCTTCAGCCAAAAGAGACAAATTTGCCTCCCACTTCTTAAACATTTTAGGGAAAATTTGCATGGAAACAGTGTAAAAATACAGAACACAGTGGCACCACCATTTTTGTACAGTCTGATACAAAGCATATCCAGCAATCAAGCGACTTCAGTTGATCTGCAAAATTAAAGCACTCTGATCCTCTGGATCACAAGTTTACCTACATCCATCTCTATAAGTAGCATAGTAAAGCTTATCAAGTTCATCCAAGTTACTAACAGACATAAAGTCAAGCACAGGGGGAAACTATGAAAGGGCTAGGGCAGATTTCAGAGTCAACTGAAATGAATTTGCCTTTCAGAAACAAAGCATGCATATCTAACAGTAAAATTAGGATAGCCTAGAAAAATGAAATATATATAGGTATATGTGTGCAGTCTCATGCTAATAATTAATTTGTCTTGTAAAGGGTAAGCACTGTTGAAACTACTCTGAAAAAAATTTCTAACAACCTCAGATAGAACTTGCTGTCAAATAGAATAGAACTAACTGTGATTGAGGTCTGTAGCAGTAATTGATACAAACATTGACATTAATGCTGAGATACTTACATGGAAGGATTCAGCACCTCATAAACCTCTTTCCATGCAAAAACTGACCTTTTAAACTAATGACAGAGTTGCCTGCCTCTTGCATGGGAACTCGGTATGCCTACCACTGGTTTTCCCCAACTGCCAGAATGAATGCCTTTTCATCCTTGTTCTATATCCTTTTCAGGACAGTTGCAGCTCTTGATCAGGAAAAAACCAAAATCAAAATGGAATACTGTTACTTCTTTAATCAATAAACTGTCCTTTCCTGAGTCCTGTCTGAATAATTTGTGCTAGAAATTGGCTGAGATCTCTGCAAATCAGTATAATAAAATGGTGATGACCAGTTCCTTTGTACAAAATGAAGCAATAAAGAGCTTTTCTGTTAGCTTTTTGGTTTTTATTGATAGATACCATACTGAAGACCACACACATTACTGTTGTATATGAGAGAAAACATAGCTGTTTCAACATACAAAAATTAAAGTGCAGTTGATTCATTGGCTCCTTTAAGAGGACTGGCATCTGGACCACATGCACTTCAAAGTCAAATGCTGTACTGAGATGTGCTGCTTTGAAGTACAGCTGCTGATCCAGACAAATTTTGGAGCCTAAACCAGCATATGAATCTGCTGTACTCTGAAAAAAAAAATCTATTTCAGATGCCAGTTTTAACTCAGTTTAGAAAATTGCTGTCTGGATCGGCTGAACTTCAAAGCAGAACATCGCAGTGCAGCATTTCCCTTTGAAGTGCAGCTAATCCAGATAGTGGGTTTTCTCTCCCTCCTTTTTTTTAAAGTAGTTAAAATTGGCATCTGACCTTACTAGTATTTCTCTTCACCATCTGCACATTCTTCTCCCTTTTCCCCTTATTTCCTCTTCTTTTGACCTCTCTGAAAAATACAGCAAGATTCACTATCTCGTTAGCTCCTGCATTACCAAAGCTACTAAAAACAGGGTGTTTGGGGGGACAGCCTATATCAAGTCACATAATGGACAGTGGCCAATTACTGCACATGGCTTGTCGTAGCCTGTTAATAAATAATACTTAATTTTACTATCCAAGAAAAATAAAGCTTGAAGTAAATCCCTTGTAAATGCTTGTATTCAGAGCATTCACAACCACATTCTCACAGTTCTGCTAACTCATATTAACAGGCATTAGCACTGGTTTAAAAAGTAGCTGATCTTGATAGCATTCTGACTTGAAGAAATTTTAATTAATTAATTAATTAATTTTGTCACTTCAAGGTTTCCTTCGCAAGCAAGTCAGGAGAGGCTTAACAAAATTATTTTACTAGAGAAAGAGTGGAATTACTATAGGCAGAATTTGCACAGCTTCTGGCAAGGGGCGTCAAGGATAAATGCAGTGCCTTCACCAGGACTTGTTCCCACCTTATACACACATAAGAGATGCTGCCATTTGCTACTGAACTGAAAGACAAACCATGAAGAAATGTTGCACTCTGTTCAAATGACAAAAACAAAGCAAAAACCCCACCCAAATATGTGCTAGTGCAAGAGGACAATTTAATGACAGCATCTCTCATTTGCTGAGAAATAACTCTGGAGAGAAAAGTACTGGACAATGACCAGCATTTTATTTACACAGGTCATGAGACATGTCACTTGGGTGATCTGTTCTTGTCAGGCAGTCTTTAATTAGAGAATTCCTAGAGAGAGCTCCTGCTCCCACTACATGCTTATTAAAAACTAAAGACAAAAGGAGTAAGTAGACAAGCCTAAGGAATGGACAGAGAACTCAGGTTGCACTGGAAGGCAAAAGTCAGCTGCCGCTAGCATAGAGAGAGGCACTCAGGATGGGATGCTGGATTTTGAATGAAAAACTCTCAGTGCTGTTATTAGTGAGTATTTTTAGCATTAAAAATCTAACTGGATATATATAAATATTTTAAGCTTGTTTAAAAGACATTTTATGGATGCTTACAGTAATACTCCCAAGCTTAATGTAAAAGTTGCTATAAAATATTCAGCAGCCTTTTTATAACTAGTCTTAAAAACAATTTAAAGTCTTGTTTATTTTTAATTATTTTTAAGTCCATCTACTTCAGCCCTAAGATAGAGGAAAAAGGGGTTTGCAATTCTAATTGAAATTATATTCTGAATTATCTTCAGAGGCTTTGGTGAGTATGGAGAGCAGAGAAAGGAATTTCCTCAGCTCCTACCTCCCTCCATTTCTATGATTCTTTAGCTTTTGTTTTTATTGCTTTTTTAGAGACCAGGCTAATTCTTGTGTTTAAGAGCAAGTTTACCATAACACAGTAAACGTCATTTATATCCTCTGTTGGGGATGTGGGGATAGGACTGTAATCCTGCATTTGCTGATTCCAGCAGGCATTAGTGATTTCTATCATCTGTGATCAAGAGCTGCATTGCACACTGATTTTGAAACATCTCTTGGTAACTCAAAAGTATAACCATAACCAGTTTTATATGCATTAAAAAATACCGTTAAGTGTCACTAATCTGTAGCCTCTTTGCTTTGTAGCTGGTGTGGCTGGGACTGAATTTCTATTTGTTTATTGATACCTTCCACTGGTATGAAGATGACAATGCTTACATTTATACACGGATTATGCTGGGAGTAAGTATGAGTTTGATTGTTAAAGGGCTCCACAAGAAGAATGTATTCATAGTTTGATTTTATTTACATCCTTCATATAACTTTTGATGCTTCAACAGTAATTTTCCCATATAAGAGTATTACATTAATATAGTACTATTTTTCTTTTGCTCTTCCTATATCAAGCTTGTAATTTAATTTCTTTACACTATTATATGTACAGTCAACCCTGGCTTGGGCAAGAGCTTCTGCAACGTGCCTTAATTTTAACTGCATGCTAATCCTGTTACCAGTCTGTAGAAACCTTATTTCATTCTTAAGAGGAGCAAGAATTGTAAGTACCATTTCTCAAATAGCTATATTATCCCCTCTTTTTTATTTCTGTAGTTCAGCGGTATTATCCATATCAAACATTTTCCAAGGAATTTTAATTTTTGATAGAGAAGCCTGTACACTATTGCCTAGTTATTACCATTTAAATTGTCAGTATTCATGACTGAAGAGAAACAAATGGCTTGTTTAACACAGTGCTCTAAATGCAACACTGATTTTGGCAGCTGCTGCATAGCATGGTGTCATGAAGAGAAAAGTGAGAGGCTACAAAAAAGGGACATAATAATGCAAGTTGGTCAAATGGAGAAAATGCATATCCATTATGTGTATTCTGTGTAGCTGCAAAGTGAAAATTGGAGAAAGAAAATGTACATTTAGATAAAAGTGCTCTAAGGATAATAAAGAACATGTTTAAACCCTTCTGTCTGAGTGGCCACCACTCAGGTCTTCCTTTCTGGCAAATATGTGTTTTGGTTACAGAGTGGTCATCTGCTCAGTCATTTACATTAACATCAGCATCGTGCATAGGAAGTACTTAAGGCTTTAGCTGTACTAGCTATAGCTTCAACTTGCATTGAATTATTATAGTCAGAGCAATTACAATCACACATGTTTGGGTAAAAAAATCACTAATCACTTCATGACTTCAAGAACAACAGGAATTTAGAAAGGGTAACATTCAGCTATTTTATTGTAAGCTGGTTCTTATTTCAGTTCTGGTTTTTCCTTTTTTTTTCTTCATTGTTAGGCATATTTCAAGCAGTTGTTAGGCTGGGAGTCAACACTGTTATATAATTGTTTTAATCCAAGAGCTGAGTCTTTAAGAAAAAAAGTTGTCTTGGGCTTCTGAATCAGTTTGTGAATTCACATAAAGTATATGCATGCCCACTTAGATGCTGAGTAAGAACTCAGAGTACTGAAACTCTTCACATAGATGATCATTATTTTGGACAATATTCTGCTCTTGAGGAGCATGGTACAGAGCAACTTGACTGGCTCCAGTATGGTCAGCACTGGGCTAGATCCAGTGACTCTCCAAGGAGACATTGTGTCTTGACATTGCACCCTATGGTGCTCCAGATTGTTGGAAAATTTATCGTCTGGGAAACAACATGGGTAGATGCCAGGATCTTTTGCATGGCACCATACCAGGTCATGTGAGCAATCCAGACACCCACACCACCATTCAGAGACTGAACTCTGTCCATGAGGGCTGTCTAGATTCCAGCAGAGCGTGTTAGTTTTGGCTCACTGCAGCCTGCCTCGGCCCCAGGCTGGCTCTGCGCAGAGGCACCCATCTGGCCATGAGCATTCCCAATAATGGGAAGATGGCTCAGTAACACATCAGCATGCAGCCACCTGAGGTCTAGACAGCCTCACCCTCCTGGACTGTGCATTTCATGAAAGCAGAGAAAATGTTTTCATTGCAAGCTGGCTTTGCCAGCAGTTCAGCTGTGTTCATGCTGCTAAACCTGAGCTTGCAAAGCAGTGGTGACCCAGCCTGGTGTCATTATGAGTTAATCATCAGCCCAGATAAACCACTCACAAACCACTGCTAAATGTAACAGAGCTTTATCAAACCTTTTTTTGAGCCCCTACAAAGGCTGAACAACTTCAGAAACCCTGAAGTTTCACTACGCTGGAAACAGTTACCTGAGTACCAAAACTAACTCAAAACTTCCACTGAATTCCTTCAACATTCCACTTTTAAATGTACTGAACTCTTTTCTTCTCCTCTCCAAAATGTGAGTTGTAAACACTAATAGGAATGGTATAAAACAAGTTCTGCTTTTTCACCAAGTGCTGTGGAGGAGCACTGAGGAGACAGCTTGACAAAAACGTCACATTTCACAAGATGGTTGCCTATGGAATAGCTGTAAATGCAAGTAAGCTTTTTTTGGTTTTATTTTTTTTCTTCTTTGCCTTTGAACTGTTTTGAATTTCACAGCGATTCTGCCTGATGCTGTAATCCCCATCAGTTCTGAGATGTGCTATTTTAGCACAATAATTTGTTGACTGCAGCTTTAAATATGTGTGGGAGTTCCATCTGATTCACCATTTGTAACCTCTTATTCTTGAGAAAGGTTTGACTGTTAAGACAATAAATTTTCAACCTGGATAGTAACTACCAGTTGCCACTTAGTTAATGTGACCAGCTTGTGTGCTCTTACCACTTTCATTAAATCCCTGAGGACAGATGTTCGGGGAGGTGACATGGCATTACTCGATATAGCATTACAGGCTTGAGAGGTGGGTCGATGCAAACCTCAAGAAGCCCAACAAAGTGAAGTGCAGGGTCCCACTCCTGGGTTGTGGCAATCCCAGACACACCTATAAACTGCCTCCTGGCAGAGGTCTGATTGAAAGCAGCGCTGCAGAGAAGGACTTGAGGGGTGGTGATTGATGAAAAACTCACCATGAGCTGGCAGTGTGCCCTCACAGCCCAGAAAGCCAACCAAATCCTGGGCTGCATCAAAAGGAGTGTGGCCAACAGGTAGAGAGAGTTCATTCTCACTCTCTATTCTGCTCTTGTGAGACCCCACCTGGAGCACTGCATACAGTTCTGGTGTCCCCAACTTAAGAAGAACACGGAACTACTGCAGCAAATAAAGAGGAGGGCCATGAAGTTGAAAAGAGGATTGAAGCACCTCCCTTGTGAAGACAGGCTGAGAAACTTGGGGCTGTTCAGTCTGGAGAAGAGAAGGTTGTGTGGGGACTTCATAGCAATCTTCTAATATCTGAAGGGGGCCTACAGGGAAGCTGGATAGAGGCTGCTAGGAACTGTAGTGATAGGACAAGGAGTAAAGGGTATAAACTGAAAGAGGGGGAATTTAGGTTAGATATGAAGAAATTTTTTGCTGTGAAGGTGGTGAGACACTGGCACAGGTTGCCCAGGGAGGTTGTGGCTGGCCCCCCTACGACCGCACGCAGTATTCAAAGCCAGGTTGGATGAAGCCTTGAGCAACCTGCTCCAGTGGGAGATGTCCCTGCCCATGGCAGGGCTCTTGGGACTAGATAATCTATAAGGTTCATTTCAACTCCTTAAAACTCTATGATTCTATGATTCTGCTGTCTGATTTCCTAAGGAAATAGTGCTTGTAAGTCACACCACATGTGTCCACTGATATATCTCACTTTTCAATCAGACAATAAATTTAATTTGAATTTGAGAAAGGCAGCTGTGTCAAAAACAATGTATTCTTTATTTATTTTTTTAAATAGGTGGTGGGTACAGGAAACTAATGGCCCCCTTGAGGGAAAAACAGCATCTTGACACAGTCTCCTGTAGCACACTCCTGAAGAAGATGGCAGTCCATGGCTTGGACAGGGGCATTCTCTGCTGGGGTAAGAACTGGCTGGATTGGCCAGGGGGGGGTGGGGGAAGGG